TGGGATAATTTGTTATGCAGCAATATGTAACTAACATATTCATTAACTGAAAAAATTAGGATATCAAAGTATAGACAGTTTATGTGGTACAGCCTTTCAGGGAGCTAATATGGCCATAAATATCCAACTTTCCTACAACTTTACACGTCTTTTGTCCTTGTAGTTTCTCCTCTAGAAACTTCTCTTAAGGGAAGAAAAATCATGGAATGCTAACAAAGGAATAGTTATAAGGATGTTCAGAGCAGCACTATTTATAATGGCAAAAAGTTGGTAGCAATCCATATATCTAATAACAGGGGGTTGAGTAACTAGATCATGGAATTGCCTCTAATAGAACAGGTTGGAATCTATTAATGAGTCTTGAAAACAAAGTGACTTGCCATCAGCATTTGAAAAATAAAATAAAATAGAATAGAATAGAGTTGAAAATATCAGAGTAAGGGTAAGTTTTGCTTCATAAGAAATTTTTGTTTCATATTTTTATATGTATATGTTGTTACGTTAAATGAATTCCTTACTCTAAGTCATGGCCCAAATTTTGAAAAACTCTTCAGTGTTAAAAAAAGATATGTACAAAACTATTTAATGACACAAAAAGCATTCAAAATATATGAAGTTACAAAATAGCATGCATCTGCTACAAAATGATCTAATTTCATGAAAATCCAAAACAAGTAAATCTATATGAAAAATGGAACATAAATACATCAAAAAAATCATTTATTCTTTTCTTCTTCTATCTATATTTTAGAATTTTCTACAACGAAAATGTCTTTTTTAAACTTATTTCTTGAATAATAATAGTTTTTACAGTTTTCCAAATAATATATTATATATAGCATTCTCTTATATATGTGTGTGTGTATATATATATATACACACACACATATATATATATTTTTGTGTGTGTGAGGAAGATCAGCCCTGTGCTAACATCTGCCAATCTTCCTCTTTTTTTTTTTTTTTTTGCTGAGGAAGACTGGCCCTGGGCTAACATCCATGCCCATCTTCCTCCACTTTATATGGGACGCCACCACAGCATGGCTTGCCAAGCGATGCGTCAGTGCATGCCCGGGATTCGAACTGGCGAACCCCGGGCCGCAGCAGCAGAGCACGTGCACTTAACCGCTTGTGCCACTAGGCCGGCCCCTATATGTATATATATTATTGCGGACCTACACCACACGTTGGCAGCCATGCTGTGGCAGCGACCCACATACAGAATAGAGGAAGATTGGCACAGATGTTAGCTCAGAGGGAATCTTCCTCAGCAAAAAAAAAGAAAAAAGGCTAGAAAGAAACTTGCCACAATGTTTTTGTGTGGTGGGATTATGGGGAATTTTGAATATTTTAGAAAATTTAGAAATGTTTCTAAAATGAACATGTTTTTCTTTTATAATAATTTTTTTTTTCGTGAGGAAGATTAGCCCTTAGCTAACATCTGTTGTCAATCCTCTTCTTTTTGCTGAGGAAAATTGGCCCTGGGCTAACATCCGTGCCCATCCTCCTCTACTTTGTATGTGGGATGCCACCTCAGCATGGCTTGATAAGGATCAAGCGCCCGGGATCTGAACCTGCGAACCCCGGGCCGTTGAAGCGGAGTGCATGAACTTAACCCTACACCACCGGGCCGGCCCCTATAATAAGAATTTTTAATAAGAGAAAGAAAAAAAGAGGCATTAAGAACAGCCTAGTTTTGATGGGGTGTGCCTGCTGTCCATTTTATCCCACTACTGGACCCGGGCCAGGAAAGCGGGCCAGGAAAGCAGGGCAGACACCCTTGCCTCTGCCCAGGCCCACATCCTCTTTCTTTCCGTGCCCTAATGTGGCCTTGTGGTCCTGGTGGTTTTCTCTTCTTATCTTATCTCAGGTCTTGAGTTCCCTTGTCTTGGGCAAACTTATCGAGGAATGGTGACGCATAGGCCAGTGGGATGTGTGTCAACGCTGAGGTGGAAGAATGTAAATAAGGAGCCTCACGCTATAAATAACGGACATAACTCAGTTGTGTGCCATCGAGCTTCACTGGGGCCATGCTGTGTGCTCGTGCAGCACCTCACCAACCCCTAGTTTACAGATAAGGAAGCAGGCTCAGAAAGGCTCCATGCATGAACCTGTCTGTGTCCCTGTGTAGGCATCCATGAAGTTTGCATATTTATGTGTCCCTAATCCATCACCAAGTTCTGTTAAATATTACCCCCTAAATAGCTCTCCACTCTGTCCACTTTGCACTATTAACAGCACTACCTCCCCAGTCAAGCCCTATGGCAGCGGCCTCCTAACTCGTCTCCTCCAGGCCTTCTGCACCCTCTGATCCTCTCTCTATTCAATAGCTAGGGGCGTCTTTGGAAATTTAAATCTGAACATGTCAGCCTGCCCAACCACCATTGCTTAAGACTTTTCAGTGATTCCCAATGCTCTTAGGATGGAGACAAAACTCCTCAACATGGTTCACAGGGCCTTGTGGGGATACCTCCATCCCTTCTGCCTCATGGCTCACTTTTCCCTCCCTCCTCTCTGTTCCAGCGCCATTGACCTTCTCCTAGTCCCTTGTACTCACCATCTCCCTCCTGCCAAGGGCCTTTGCAAATACTCTGTCTTTTTCCAGATCCACTCCTGCTAGCCCCTGTGCCTAGTTAACTCCTACTCATCCTTCAGAACTCAATTTAGATGTTACCATTTGCTAGGTCACACCCTCACTAGACATTCTTACAGCACCTCTTACCTTTTCTTCAGATCACTAAATACATTTGTAATTTTATATTTATTTGATTAGTTGATTAATATTTATTTTCACAATAGACTGTAAGTTCCACCAAGACAGGGACTATATCTCTTTTGGATCACCAATCCCTAGTATTGGGCATAATTCTTGGCCTACTAGAGGAGCTCATAAAATCCTTGTTAAATGAATGATTAATGAATGAACACAACCCAACGATTCTTCTGATCTGGTTCCTTTTCCTGAAAGGGCTCCCAAACCCTTCTGAAGACAGGAAAACAGAAGAGGCAGGAAACTATCATAATAATGCCTGCCCATCACAGAGTGTCGAAGTAAGAGCTGAGTCTACAGGCTGCGTTTTAGAGGCCTTCCTACCCTGCTCACCTCCACCCTCTTCCAAAGAGGGCCTGGAAGGAAGCCACTGCAGAGAAATCCCAGGGCCGGCATTTGGTGGACAGAGCCTCAACAGGAAGGCAGGGAGAATGGGAAGGCGAAGAAAGGAAGGGAATAGATGTCTACTGTATCTTGGACACCATGCTAAATGTTTACATACATCATCTCATTTAATCCTCCCCAAATCCCATTTTGCAGATGAGAAAACAGACTCAAAGAGGTTGTGAAACTTGAAGGTTATAAAACCAATGCAGAGAAAAGCTAAGTGTGAACTCAGATCTGTCAGCTTTCCTCCAGAGCCTGGGCTTTTCCAGCCTACAATCCTGGCCTCCAGCCTCAAACACCTCCCCCACACTGTTAATGGAGGGCCCAAAGTTTCATCATTAAAGACTCATCTGGGGACCAGCCCGGTGGCGCAGCGGTTAAGCGCGCGCACTCTGCTGCGGCGGCCTGGTGTTCACAGGTTCCGATCCAGGGCGTGCACTGACGCACTGCTTGTTAGACCATGCTGTGGCGGCGTCCCATATAAGGCAGAGGAATATGGGCACGGATGTTAGCCCAGGGCCAATCTTCCTCAAGAAAAAGGGGAGGATTGGCATTGGATGTTAGCTCAGGGCTAGTCCTCCTCACAAAAAAAAAAAAAATGAGCAGGTAGATTTAAAAAAAAAAAAAAGAGTCATCTATTGGCCTTTGTCTAAAGCTCTCTTTTAGGAAACAGTGTATGATGGTTGAAGTCGATACACTGGAAACAGAAACTCAACATCATAAAGGCAACCACTACAAGACCTGAAAAGAAATATATAAACAAAAATTGCAACATGGAAAATAAAGGACATGAGGGAGTTAGTGCGAGGGAGTTAATTCCTCATCCTTCATATTGAGGGAACGAGATACTGTCTAACAGATGTTAGCCCAGGTCCAATCTTCCTCAGCAAAAGAAAAAAAAAAAAAGAGGAGGATTAGCATTGGACATTAGCTCAGGGCTGATCTTCCTCACACACACAAAAAAAGAGATACTGTCTAAAATGGACACATTTATGATATTACATGAAGGGATAATGGTGATCAGAGGAGAATTAAAAATAGAAGCTGTTGGTGGGGAGCTGGGGAGAGGAGAGAAACTTTCATTTTTCATTTGTCCTTCTGAGCTGTTCATTTTTTTAAAAAAATTATAGTGTTCTCCTGTAACTTTTTTAAAAAGTTTAGAAATTTTTGTTACAAGGGACTAAATAAACAAAAATACCCTTCTTTTAGAATGCGAGTATGTCTAAAAGTATTAGTCCTGATACCTGGGTGTAAGTTAGGTCTGCAGGTTTCCTTTTCATCAGGAAGGACGTGAGGCAGAGGAGGATCATGTGATGATAAACATGGCTTCCTAAGCAGTTGCTTCTGGGAACCGGGCATGGGAGACAAGCTTGATCAATTTGCCTTTGCAAGCACACAGGGCTAGGCTGACAGAGGAGCGCCTCTTCCCTCACATATTCCCAAAGGCAGCTCATGTTCAGACACACCCAGCTACAAGAGGATACAGACCCCATGAGAGCCAGAGATGACCCCCGCTCTAACCATCCCCAGCAAGACTTTGCCCCCAGCTGTGCCACACTCTGAACAGGAGACCCTGCCAGCCAGGGACCCTGCTCCAGCAGGATACCGCTGCTTCTTAAAGCGCAGGTGGATCTAGTCCCAGGAAGGTGGGATGCCGAGGGCTCTCAGATGAGTGTGACTTAGGTCCTGCTCCAGAGCTGGCCATAGAGCTCCAATGAGGGCCCCACACCCCTCGGGATACAAGGGCCCTTTCTTCCTCCTGAGGCACGGCACCCACTTGACCTTTGCTCGACTGCAGTTTATATCACTCTGGGCCCCAGCAGCTGCGGGAGGGAGGCTGGCGCACTGCTCCGGAGTGCCACTAACTGGCAGCAAGGAGCCAGGAGACTGGCATTCCCAGCACCAGATAAAGGCCTGTTGATCTTTGACCCCCACCCTTCCCGGAGCCTTGGGCCTCCCTCGCGCCTGCCCGCCTTCCTTTCTTCTCTGCTGGCCTCTCCCTCTGTTCTCTGTCTCCTCATTTTCCTGGCACCCTTGCTCTGACCGGCAGTTTTCCCCAGCTCCTTGCCCAGGCCAATCCTTCCATGCTGTCTTCAAGCCCTCCTTCCTGCACATCTCCCAACTCTGACCGGGAGAACTCCAGCAAGAAGGTCCAGTGGGCTTCTGGGAGGAGGAGGACGTCATCCACAGACTCAGAGTCAAAGTCCCATCCAGACCCCTCCAAACTGCCCAGGTCCCGGAGACCCAGCCGGCTGACGGTGAAGTACGACCGGGAGCAGCTCCAGCGCTGGCTGGACATGGAGCAGTGGGTGGATGCACAGGTTCAGAAACTCTTCCAGGTGGGTAGCATGGGGGAGGGTGGGAGGACCTGGGGCCTGGGGCCTGGCCCGGGGGCTGGGGCAGAGCCTGCCTGGAGACCTCAGGGGGAGCTGGAGGGCTGATGTGGGAGGTTCCCATGGAGAAAAAGCTTTTCCCATCAGGTGAGGCGTGGGTTTGCAGCCCAGAAATCTGCCTCCTTCTGGTCTGGGCTCTACCTCTAACTCTCATCATAATCTGGGGCAAGTCTTTTAATATCCCTGAGACTTAGTTTCCTAATTGATAAAATGGGGCCATCAATGCCTGTCATATCTCCTTCATAGGACTTTTTGACACTCAAATGAGATAGTAGAAGGGCTATTTTTCTTCATTTTATGTGTTTATTTACTCTCATCCTCAACACACATTCAGTCTAGAGCTACACTGTCCACTACTGTAGCTATCAGCCATGTTTAGCTATTTAAATTAATAGAAATTAAACAAAATTAAAAGTCCAATTCCTTGGTCACAATAGCCACATTTCAAGTGTCCCACGGCCCCATGTGGCTAGCAGCCACCATATTGTCAGCACAGATATAGAACATTTCCATCATCTCAGAATGGACAGTGCTGGACTAGAATTTCAGAGTAACCAACAGTGAGGCTAACACCAGCACGTGACCCAGCCTTGGCCCCGGCTCTGACTGACCCCCCTCAACCCCTCCAGGGGAAAAGGACAGGTCTTGGCCCCTTGTTACGAGAAGCGGAATTTTCTTGCTTAGATTCCTCCATCAGGATCCTAGATAGTGACAACTGCCGCTTCAACAAGAATTATATTTTGAGCACTTAACTCTGCGCTAGGCTCAGTGCCCAGCACTCAACATGCATTATTTCATTCAGCCCGCCCCACAACTCCATTAGGTAGGTGCTGCTTTACCGTGGAGGAAATGGAGCCTTAGAGATGTGGAGGAACTAGCCCAAGGTCACACAACTAGGAAGCGGTGGGACCAGGAGCTACAGCTGGGGCTCTGCTCTCAGAGCCTGAGCACTTATTGGAGGAGCTGGTGGTTCTTCACACCTGAAGTACTTCAGAAAAAACCCAGTGCCCTAACTGCACCTCAACTGACTTTAAATCTACTAGAATGGGGCCCAGGCCTTTTTTATAAGCTCCAGAGCTGATTCTAGCATGTGACCAGCTGAGAACCATTGCACCAAGCCAGAGACTGGGAGTCCTCCTTGTCCACATTCCATGGTCCTTGTTTCTCCTCTTTCTTGACTCAGATCCTATCTTTTCTTTCTGGGGCAGTGAGGGCCTGAGATTCTTCCAGGTAAGGGCTGTGTCAGCCGCCCTGTTGTTGGGGTGGGGAAGAGTGATGCGTGTGGCCCGGGCTGTCTTGTGAAGCTCACTGGGTCATGTGTCAGTTTGGTCCATCTCCCGTGTAGCATCCTGGGCCTGCTCGTGGAAGGTGGGGAGATGGCCTGGAGCTGGGAGCAGGAGAGGCAAACTTTGTTGGCCTGTGTCTGCCCTGATCTTGCAAGGCACCTCTGCTGCCCTTCACTGACTGCCAGCACCCTCTCTTTCTGATTCAGTTTCAATTTTAGACTGTTGTACACTTGCATGACAAGTTTCATATTTCAGACACCTCAGGGAAAATCCTTCCAGGCAGAGGGGAAACACACTAGCCAAAGAACCTTGTTTTGCAAGAGCAAGGCAGGGAGGAAAGCTGTACAATAATGAGCTTATAACCCTGGAAAACAGGACGTGTGGGAGGACTGCTCCCAGGCAATGGCCAAAATCAAATACCTGGCCTGCAGTGGCCATGGCAATTGTCCAAAGGTGCCAGGTGGCAGTTCCTCTCCCAATCCCTGTTCTTTTCAGCAGGAAGCAGCCAAGTGGCTGGGGAAGCCCCAGGTGGCTGGTCATTTTGGGCAGAGATTGAGGCAACACAGTTGGCTCACACTAGGATAGCACACTTGGATAGCACACTAGGAATGGTTCCAGGCATGCGTCAGTCACCACTTGTTTAATTTAGTTTAACGGGATCTATCTTTCCTTTGTTGGAGAGCCCCACCTCTTCTCACAGGGCGTGCAGCCTGCTTTGGGGTCTTCAGAGGAACCAAGTTTGGGTTCAACACAACAAACAGACCTGGGGCCCTATAGCTCCCGCTGTCCAGAGGTAGAGTGTGGATTTGGCTTCTAAGCAGGGACTTCAACACTCATGAGTTTCTCCTATTTTAAGGAGACTCTTGCTCAACAACCTGCTGCCCTCTGGCTACCATCCCCTATTTCGTGTCTCCTTTACAAGACTCCTTGGAGGATTTGTCCACACTCACAGCCTTTACTTACCATCTCCCTTCCTATCACATTCACACCACTGAAATCTGCCTTCTGTTCCCACCACTCTATTGAGAGCTCTTGCCAAGGTCACTGCCTTGGGGCTTAATCTAATGTACACATCAGCAGGGGACACTGTTGACCACCCTGGAGTAATGAAATGTTCCTTTCCTATAGCTTCCATGACACTATCTTCTGGTGGCAGCTGGCATGTTGATGCAGCACTTTTGATGTGGTGACATTGTAAGAAACAATCTATTAAACTTCCAACTTTACAAAAGTATTGTCAATGAATATGTGAAACAAAAGTCTGTTAGCTCATCTCTGAGCCTTCCTCCATTGCTGGTCCCCATGGCAGAGGGACCTGAGTATGGAGTGGAGGTGAGAAAGGGGGTAACATCGGGCAACACCTGGCAGGAAACTACCACATGTAGATACAGAGTCACAAGTTTACCACACTTGTTCATCTCAGTGGGAGTTGTTTGATATCTCTGCTTATTTTCTGAGAATTCAAAAAATACTTGAGGGAAAGAATATTTGGATTATGATATGAGCCCATATTCTCAACTCCAGACTGCAGTGGCAAAATGCCTAACAGTAATATACATACCTTATATTCAATATATGTATAGTTAATGTCATAAGAGATATAGAAATAATTTTGGGGGCAGGACTGATACATTTTTAGAGGTGAAGTTCTGATCGTTAGATTGTATCTTTATTTTTTGACCACACTCTCCACCTTCTGGGACTCCCATTACTGATATATTAGACCACTTGATATGGTCCCACAGGTCACCACAGCTCTGTTCTGTTCTCTTCTTTTTTTTCCTCCAGGTTTTTTCCTCTCTGTGCTTCATTTTTTCTAGTTTCTTTGCTGTATCTTCAAGTTCAACTGATCTTTTTTCCTGCAGTGTCAAATATGCTGTTAATTCTATCCAGTAAATTTTTCATTTAAAATATTGTATTTTTCATCTCTAGATGCTCCATTTGGTTCTTACTCATATCTCCCATTTCTGTAATTACTATATTTATGTTTTCCTCATCTGCTAAGTCCATCATCTGTCATTTCTGGGTCTGCTTCTGTTAACTGATTTTTCTCCTTGTTATAGGTCACACTTCCCAGGTCTTGGCACAACTAGTGACTTTTTATTGGATACTAGATATTGTGAGTTTCATGTTGTTGGGTAACTGAATTTTTTTCCTTCTTTTTAAGAGTGTTGGGCTTTGTTCTAGTAGGTGGTTTAGTTACTTGTGGTTCAGTGTGATCCTCCTGAGGCTTGCTTTTAAGCTCTGTTAGGGTGAGTCTAGAGTAGCCTTTAATCTAAGGAATAATTGACCCCCCTGTAAAGCATGGCCCTTCTGAGGTCTCTGCTGAATTCCTGCGTGATCAGCAACGACTGTCCACTCCCCCTGGGTGGAACTTGATTTGTCCCCAGTCTCATGTGAGGTCTGGGAACTGTTCATCTCTGTGCCCTCAGTGCCTCATAGCACCAGGCTTTGTGAAGTTTTACCCTATGAATGTGCATCTTGTGTTTAGCAAAGACTCAAGAGAAACCTTATGCAGACTTCTGGAGGTCTCTTTCTTCATAACTCCTCCCTATCCACAACTTTGTCTAACAACTTCTAGCCACCTCAACCTTGAACTCCAATCTCTGTCACATCAATTTAGCAAGACCACAGTGCTCTGCTTGGGATCTTCCTCTCTGCTCTGAGGTCTGGAAATTGCCTCCAGGAAGAAATACAAGGCAATTATAGAGTTTACCTCTTTTGTTTCCCTTCTTTCTCAGGTAGTCCTGAGCTACCTGTTGTCCAATGTCTGAAGACATTGTTCATATATTTTTATCTAGTTTTCTAGTTACTTGTGTGGGGAGAATAAGTCCGGTCCCATTCCTCCATCATGACCAGAAGCATAAATATCTGGTTAACTGTTACTCAGCCTTCAGGTCTCAGGTTAGAGGTCACTTCCTCCAGGAAGCCTTCCTAAACCCCAGGCTTGGTTAGCTTCCCCTTCCAGGTGCTCCCATAGGATCTCATCAGAGTGCTTATTACCCTGTATTGTTACTTCTTCTCACTTGTCTGTATCCCTCAGGAGACTGTAAGCTTTTCAAGGGCAGGATCATCTCTGTCTTGCTGTTACGGCCCCAGGTCTCATCACAATGCTTGGTACATAGCACGCACTCGATAAATATGCATTAAATGAATCAATGCTGAATCAGATGAGCTAGAAACCAAGGAAGCAAAGGGAGAGTCTAGAGTTTAGGGTGAAAAAGCCAACTTAGAACTCTAACACTATTTATTTTTAAAAAGGTATGGAAGGACCAAAACGGTTAACGGTGGCTGCCTGTTGGCAGTGGGAGGAGTGAGAGGGTAGGTGAGGTTTCTTTTTCTTTCTTTTTTTAAAAATCAACTTTACTGAAGTATAATTGGGAGAATAAGATCTTCCCGTTTGAGGCATACATTTGGATATTCTTCGCCATATGTAACCACTACCCCAATCAAGATGTGGAACATTTCCATCATTGAAAAAGTTCCCCAAATAGTACCTACCTTTAGACAAATTATACAACTTAATTACTTAGTACATCTGTTTTTATTATGTCTCCTCAACTGTCCCTAACATGTAGGCTCTTTGAGGGCAGGATCTTTGTTTTGTTCACTGAAGTTCCCAAGTTCACAGTGCTGGAATAATAGTAGTAACACATAGTTGTTGAATAAATAGATTCCAAAGGATTAAATAATCAAATGGAAAAGGTGAAATCATCAAACCTCTAGAAAAATATAAAGGTGAATATCAAATATTTACCCAAGTCAGTATGGGAAGAACTTGCTAAGCATCAAAAAAGAGAAGATGAAGCAAAACCCAAACTGGAATGGAAAAGACCATTCGATTCAACTGTATAAACACGAACACCTATTTCTCCAGCCCCTCCTCCAAACATAGACAATATTTCCATCACATATGGAATGCTAGGCTAATCTGAATTAAAAAAAAAAGACAACTCTTAAGTCAGTAAGAAAAAAAGAACAAACCAATAGAAGAATGGATAAGGAAGCAGTTCTTTTTTTTTCCCCCCCCCCAAAGCCCCAGTAGATAGTTGTATGTCATAGTTGCACAGCCTTCTAGTTGCTGTATGTGGGACACGGCCTCAGTATGGCCGGAGAAGCGGTGCGTCGGTGCGCGCCCGGGATCCGAACCCGGGCCGCCAGCAGCGGAGCGCGCGCACTTAACTGCTGAGCCATGGGGCCGGCTCAGGAAGCAGTTCTTATGTTCTGGTGACTCCAGGGTTCCCAAGACCCTTTCAGGAGGGCCATGATTATTTTCATAATAATACTAAGATGTTGTTTGCCTTTTTCACTATGTTGACATTTGCACCGATGATGCAAAAGCAATGGTGGCCCTTAGCATGAATCAAGGAAGTGGCACCAGGGTCGGCCCGTGGCTTAGCGGTTAAGTGCGCGCGCTCCGCTACTGGCGGCCCGGGTTCGGATC